AATTTAGTGAGAAAAATTTATTCACTCTAATAAATGTCTTTATTTTGACTCCATTTCGTATATTTGAAAAATATTTATTTGTGTTTTTCCATCCTTTATTTAACATATTTTTATATGTCAGTAGTCAATTAATTCAAATATGATTGAATAATTTAAGAAATATAATTTGCAGCTTATTAAATGATATCGTTATAAAATACTAACAAAGAGTATATTTGACTTTGAGTAAAACTGCCTCTCTAATTTAAAAAGATAGAATAGTGAGTCTGTTTAAATTAGAAAGTGTCTTGTGTTTAGAGAATTTTTTGGAGATGTTTTCATAAGTAAACTGTGACCAAACTTTAACCATTTAACTTTAATTTGCTCCAATGCTCTTGAACTAACGCATGGATTCGGCCAAATATTCTTTTCAAATACCATACCAACTTTTGAACATTTTCCAATGTTGGCAGAAGGACAATCAATTTATTTCATCTTACATTTTCAACGTCGAAAAAGGACACTCAGTTATTTCATCTTAACAATTCACTCATCAAATTCGTACAGAACAAATTCTTCCAATTAATTTTCTTTCCTTTTCAAAATTGATACATTTTCAATTATGACATGTTTTTGGTAAAAATCCTTGTAAGAAAATAAAAAGGATCTAGCTAAGGGAACATAATGATTAACGTAGGGGATAATCAAACACACACACAACTCGGGGGGTCGGGCATTATTTAACTCACGTGGGACCGCGAACTTTGTGAGGATCATCCCGGGTGTCAAAGCATTTTTCGGGAGAAGTGGCATTTTCCAAATAAACAAGTTGCTAACATCTTAAAAATAGTTTAGGTCTTTTTTACTATTAAAAATAAATTTAAACTTTCAATTTAGGTTAGGTCAACTTCATTTTTTCACATGACCTTTGTACTCAGAATATTTTACAAGAGTGAAAAAATATGTGTGTTTGTATATATATATGGAGAAAAACGATACATATTTTATGAAATAAACTTCAAAATTGAAGAAAAATTACAGACTATCGAAGACTAATCTACTATATAAGATATACGAAATTATTCCAAATAAATATAATTTCTTGACCTTCCTACCCCTCAATTATCACACAGTCACATGCTTTGCCACACCCACAATATTTTTCATTTGAACAAACAACAAAGACAACAGGAATACTAGCTCAATGGATTATTTTTTTGCTTTCTGGCCTATACACAAAAGAAACCACAAACATGTCAAGTTACTAATAACGTGTGACCAAACTTTAACAGTTTAACCAAAATTTGCTCCAACTCAGCTCAAATAATGCATGGGTTCAGTCAATTATTCTTTTCCAATTCCATACCAACTTTTAAACTTTTTCCAATGTAGAAAAAAGGGAATTCTTCGATATCACTAACTATTGTCGATTTTATCTTTCAAGTCGATCCCACGAGAACTATACTTTAGCACTTAATTCAAATTTCTTTAACCACTATTTGATGAAAATAAACAAAAATGATGATCGATTGTGATTTTTGATCTAACTACCTATGAGAATGAATGCAACAAAAAGTGATTTGGAATTCAAAAAATAAATAGATGTTAGGGTGGAACAACTTCATCTGTTGACCACATTTACTTTCGAATATCGAGATTGATAAAATCTAAAGTAGTGTTCGATCGAATTCTTCTATTGTATTCAATTTATCCCTCTTGAGTTCTCATTGAGTATATTTAACTACTTCAATTTCATATCTCTATGTGAATCAAACTTAGTTAAATGCACTAATAGTTCTAAGAATTCATTTATGACCGCAGCAGTTAATATAGACATCTCTAAATGTTATATTAATTTACCAGATTTTAATATGTAGTCTAAACAAGAATCGTCATTTCTACGCAATTATTGTTCATGAAATCATTGAATAATTGGTCGGAAAATTCAAAGCATTAAGAACATGATTAAAATCAACACATATAATCATAACGAACAAGAATCTCAAATAAAAGAAATAAAGGGTTCTAAATAGGTTATATTGTTTACCCTAAAATTAGATTTAGCATCTCATAGTAATGGAAGAAAAATAAGAAGTTATTATGGAATACATCACCGGATTTTGAATAAGCATATAGAATAAGAAACCAATTTTGCACCAAGATCTTCATCCTCTTCCAATCAATGTGTTAAACCTTCAATTGCTTGATGTTTTCCTCCTTTGAATTCCTCTTTTTGATTCTCTAATTATGTTCTCTTGCCTCTCAATGCGAAAAATCTCCCAAAAAGTGTGAGAAACTTGTATTTATAGGTGCCTCCTCCTGTATGTAGAAAGTATAATTTTTATGGACTCCAAAATGGGCCAAAAACTCGCCCTTGTTGCACGCAAGTGGCGCCGGCTCCCTGAAGTGGCATCGTGGCGCCACCTTTTAGGCAAACAGCTTGTCACTTAGTATTTTTATCATAACTTTTTTTTCCTGATATCCGATTAAGGTGATTATAGTTGTGTTGGAATGATAACTGAAAGGACTACAATTTTCCTTTAGATACCATTTTCAAGTTCGATCATTTGTTATGTCAAAAATGAGTCTCAATATGAGTCTGAAAATGGTGCATACATTTTTTTCGGTTGAAATTTGATGTATGATCATACTTTGATTGTATTTCATCCCTTTAATGTCTTTCTTTATCCAATTGACTTTGAGCACTCTTGAATCTTCATTGTGAGGTCCGACACAACTTTTGAGTATTTGCACTTTAGTCCCCCGAACTTTGGATCTCTTACAAATTAGCCATTTTCTCAACTTTTGCTTACTTCCTTGAATTTCTTGTACTGTCATTGAATTTTACCTATTCAGCACCAAATGCAATAATTTAGACCATAATTCATTCAAGAAATAACTAAATATCATTGTTTTAAAGTTTTGAATAAGTGTATAAAATACACTAATCAAATACGCTCAAATTTAAACATTTGTTTGTCCTTAAACAAAACTATCATCTAAATAGCTACGAACATAAAAGCATACAAATGATAATGGTTGGACAATCAAGCTTTTTACCTCAGAATTCGAGATTTTGATGTTTATTCGACAAACAAGCTTCAAAGTCACAGTACCAAACAAATATCTAATTTTTCAGTGCAAAAGCGACGTGTGTGTGTGTGTGTGTAGAATTAAGAAATCAACCATAATTGCACAAGTTGTTTTAATTCCCGACCCTCTATGGTTAAATACATCCTTACATTTCTGGTATGATTCACACACACCCAATCTTACACTTTTCCCTTGTTCCTAATGTGTAACATAAGGTTGAATATTTCATTACTATCTTCATCATCTCGAGTTCAAGTCAACGTTTGCAAGTCAACACTTCAGTGAACCGAAATTCTCCAATTATTTGACTGTTTCGACTACCACGACTCAACTAGCTAATTATCATTCATCGAAAGTCAAATTCCATCAAAAAAGTGTTAAGTCTTAACCAAGGTATCTAGTGCTTTTGCCCTTTTCATGCACTTGCTTTTTCTATTTTTCACAAGTTTTTTTTTTGTTTTTTTTCATTCTCTCCATTAAGCTTTCTAGATGGCCCATATAGTATGTTTTAGGTCGATGACTCTCAAATAAGATGATTTTAGGACACCAGATTTTAAACACCCTTACAGGCTTATTGATCCGAATCAAAAAGGCTTCGAAGAGAACCAATTTTTGTTTTAAGTGCAACTTCATCTTTGATTGCCTTCTAAATGACTCCTATAACGAGTTTTAAGCCAATAACTCTCAAGTCATACGACTTTAGGGCACTAAGTTTTAAGATATCCTTGCAAGCTTAATTATTGGAGTCATAAAAACTTCAAAGAGAAATATTTAGATTTCAAATGTATATACCTTAATTAGTGTAATGCCCCTATCACACACTTATTCAAACAAACCAACATCCAACTTAAGATTTTCGCCTAATTTTATTATGTTAGTCTAAGACAATCCACACATAAGTTTTCACATATAGAATCCAAATTCACATCCGCATCTTCCTACAACTGTAAAGTCATCCCAAACTATGCTAACTTTGGTCTAAGGATAAATAATTTATTATGGTTTAGTTAAAGCATCTATGTCCAATTAAATCAACCTTACAAACAAATGAATCAACTCGTTTTATCACAATGTCAAATTCAATTTTAGTGCACGTATAATATCAAGTTTTGTAAGGTTAAGCTTCAATAATCAATCTAGCGTGCATCCTATCCACAGTTCATATATCAACACCAAATCTCAAAGTAAAACACAATTGTAAGCCAAACTTTCCAACTCACACAAAAATTTTAGGTAGGCAATTAGACAATTAATGATAATACTTTCTCCCAAACTTAAACTAAACATTGTCCTCAATGTTAAACTTAAAGGAAAAGGAGGACTTCTTTGAAAAGTCAATATTGTCTATGATGTTGTGGTGCCTTGGAGTTGCATTTGATCGACTCTTCTTTCACATCCTCCCCCCAAACTTGAGATTTGTCCCATTTTCTCCTTGTTCATGTTGGTTTTAGTGTTCCACGATGTCATGTTTCTGAAAAATCAAATTTGAAAAATTAAACTCATGGAACAAGGGTTACTTAGCTCAAACAATTAATAACCAACTTAATTACTCAAATATCTACAGGTAGAAGGGTATGAGTGATGATTTCTGAATAAATTATACATTAAACTAAGCTATCCTATAACTCGAAAACAAAATAAATAAATAAATAAAGCTTGGATTACCTCCCAAGAAGCACTTTTTTTAGGTCATTAGCTTAACTTGTGCCGCTGACTTATCATGGTGGCTAGAACCAAGTTAATCCATCATTGCACTTTGTCCAATTTTCATTTATGCAGCTCCTTTTTGCTCTCCAGATTTTGATTTGTCCATTCTCATCTCTAACAAGAAGTTCCCCAAAATTTATTTTTCTATTCTGACAGCTTCGTTGATTAGGTAGCCCTTCTTCATCAATTCTACAACAATCATTTTTATTGGGAGGTTTCTCTTATTGGGTGCAAATATTGAATATCTCTTGCTTGTTTTCCATCCTCAAGATTAGTTCTCTCTTCTCCATATCAAAAAAGGTTCGTCCCGTTGCTAAGAATGGTCGACCCAATATAACTGGAATGTCTCGATCTCCTAGTATATCCAATACAATGAAATCCACAAAAATTATGAAATTTCCTACTTTTACGAGTACATCCTCAACTTTTCCATGTGGCCATACGATTGTTTTATCAGCTAGTTGTAGCGTTATTGATGCTGAGTTAACTTTACCTAGTCCTAATTTCCTATAAACAGAATACGAAATTAGATTGATACTAGCACCTGTGTCATGCACTAATTGAACAAGAATTTCCAATTGAAATTGGTAAAGTAATACTCTTTGGATCCTTCAATTTAAGAGGTAATTTGCTCATGACTCTTGCACTACTTTTCTCAGTTAATGCCACAGTTTTAAACTCTGGAAGCTTTCTTTTCTTTGTCAACATCTCTTTTAAAAATCTCGCGTAGCTTGGAATTTGTAGTATCGCATCAATGAACGGAATATTGATCTGGAGCTTTTTGAGACCATCGAGGAAATTTTCATAATTTGTATCTTGTTTATTCTTCTTAAGACCTTGAGGAAAGGGAATAGGAGGTATGTAAGCTTTGCTTAGACTTGTTGCTTTGGCAGCTGATGTCTATGTACTTTCTCCAATTTTAGTTGCGTTTGGTGCAGATTTTTCCACCTTTGTAGCTTTATCAATCACTTCTTAGTCATCTTTTCTTTTGGGTCTCTCTGTAGTCATCTATGGTGATTGTACCTCGCTCTTTGTATTTATGACTTGAATATTTTGCTCCATCGACTTCTTTTGAAGTCTTTAGGGAAATGAAAGTAGAGGTACATATGCTTTAACTTTCACGGGGGACCCTGGGTGGATCTCTCTCCACTACTTTAATTGCCATCACCTGTTCCTTAGGATTTATCATTGTATTGCTTGGCAATGTCCCTAGTGGGCATTCTGCATGTTGTTGCACTATCTCACCAATTTATGTCTCCAATTTCTTGATGGATGCCTGCTGATTTTGAAAGTTTTTGTCAATTTGCTGGAACGCCTTGTCAGTCTTTTGCACATATTGCTGAAACATCTACCCAAAATTGGCCTTCTCTCTTGCTGAAAATTGTTCCCATATGAGTTGAAATTACGGGAGCCATTTTAAATAAAATTTACTTGTTCCTCCGAAGAAGCAAGCATCAAGAAATTTTCTGTAGCATGATTTCTCCCACAATTCTCACAAGTTGAATTGGCCATCACTGTATTTGTTCCACGTGATTACAATTTTACAAGTAACTCTATCTGTTTTATTAAAGCTTCTACCTATGTATTGGTAGATGTTGTGTTGTCTAATTCATACATTCCAAATGCCTTTAGTGGTACCACTCTTTCTGATGAGAACATTGAATGTGTGGTGACAATTAACTCAAATAGGTCCATGGTTTGTTGCACTGATTTCCCTATGATTGATCCACCTGCAGAGGCATCCACTTGAGATTTTAATAGTGATGTATGTACGGTGTAAAATTATTGCACTTGGTTTCGTATAATGATTCCATGATTTGGACACTTTTTCATCAACTTATTAAATCTATTACATGCCTCTTGATAGCTCTCTCCATCTCTTTGTTGAAAAGTTTGAATATCCAATTTGATTTTAGCTACTTTCATTGGTGGGAAAATTTTGTTGCAGAATTTTCTCGCTAGTTCTTCCCATGTAGTAATACTGCCATGAGGCTCCACATCTAACCACTCCAATGTAGCATCTCTTAGTGTAAATGAGAATAATCGCAATTTAATAGCATCTTCATTAACTCTCGGAACATGGAAGTTTTGATAGTTCGTGACAAATTCTGGAGATATGGGTGTTCGAATTTTCATGAGGTAACCCGTAGAATTGGAGAGTGTTGCTCATCAAATTAATCCAATCTGGCTTGATTTGAAAATTATTCACCACAAAATCTAGATACACAATACTAAAGCGTGCAGGTGCTGCTATAGGTGTTAAGAACCTTAAGACTGGCAAATCTCCTTCATTTATTTCGCCTCGTTTATGCTACTATTCTTGAGGTGTCGCTAATCTTGCAGCCACTTGTCCAATTGGCTGAATAGGAATAGGAATATGTTGATTGTCAGCCATTTGATGTTGTTTTTGTTTATGTTCTTTGCGTCTTCGTCGGAAAGTACATTCTATCTCTGAATCAAATGGCTCAAGAACGTCGCCTTGGGCACGGAACATACAACAAACATAGTTTTCCATAAGTAAAAAGAATTAAAAAAATCAAATAAAATTTAAAAATAAAAATAAATTAAGACTAAAAGTAATAGTCTCCGACAACAGCGTCAAAAACTTGTTGTTGATTTTATATCCTGCAAGTGTATTAATCGTAACGAGTAATAAAATGGACCTAAGAGTCCGGATTGTCAATCCCATGAGAACTATACTTTAGCACTTAATTCAATTTTCTTTAGCAACTAATTAATGAAAATAAACAAAAACGATGATCGATTGTGATTTTTGATCTAACTATTTAAAATGTGAATGGATGCAACAAAAAGTGATTTGGAATTCAAAATTATAAAACTTAAAGTAGTGCTCGGTTGAATTCTTCTATTGTATTCAATTTATCTCTCTTAGGTTCTCATTGAGCCTATTTAACTACTTCAATTCCATCTCTATGCAAATCAAACTTAGTTAAAGGCACTAATAGTTCTAAAAATTCATTTATGATCGCAGCAATTAATATAGATATCTCTACACATTATATTAATTTACCAAATTTTAATATGTGGTCTAAACTAGAATTCACCTCTCTACGCAATTATTTTTCACGAAATCAATGAATAATTGGCCAGAAACTTCAAAGTATTGTGAATATGATTAAAATCCGCACATATAATCATAACGAATAAGAATCTCAAATAAAAGAAATAAGGGTTCCAAATAGTTATATTCTTTACCCAATTAGATTTAACTCCTCATAGTAATGAATGAAAAACAAGAAGTTATTATGGAAGACATCATCGGGTTTTGAATAAGAATATAGAATAAGAAACCAATCTTGTACCAAGATTTTATTCCTCTTCCAATCAATGCGTTAAACCTTCAATTGCTTGATATTTTCTTCCTTTGAATTCCTCTTTTGATTTTCTGATTATATTCTCTTGCCTCTCAATGTGAAAAATCTTAGAAAAAGTGTGACAAATTTGTATTTCACTACAACAAAACTATGATTTCGCGATAAGATTTTTTTGCGACTAACAAAAAGTTGTCGCAATAAGTGACTTAATGTGACACATTATTAAAGTTTGACGCGAAGATTGTGATGAAAAAAGTAAGTACCAAAAAATATAAGATGGCATAAAAAGTTGTCGTAAAATGTGAGAAGTTGCGACAAATAATAAAGACTGTCGCAAAAAATATAAGGGAAGTAATGTAATGGTTGTTGATCTTGTGCTAATGTTCAGTGTGAGATATTTGAAATATGTTCTTTAAACTAATATTTCATTACCTTCTACATGTACCTGTTTGACTAAATTTGAGGTGCTTTTCTTTATAGGAATTCTCATTTAACCAAAGAACATATTGATGGTGAGTTGGAAGCATATCTTGGAACGTAAAATGACAATTATACCCTCTTATTTAAAACAAAAAAACACAAAAAAAGAGAAAAATTCAGAACAAATTGCAACCCTTCCACTAAACTTTTAAAAAAGTACAATTGAATCCCCAATACTCCCTCAATCCATCACAACTAAGATATTAGAACCACCACTTATGGACCACCAAAACTCCACCCTCCAGCCACCTTGGGCACAGGACCAACATACCATTTTGAAGCCCACACTTTCCTCTTTGTAACCCACCCAAGATCTGGCCATAACTCCAATCAATTTGGCCCGAAATTCAAGTCAAAATAGGTTATCCACGCAACAAACAGTGGCCAAAATCTTCACTTCCAACGACACCCATGCCCTACACAACTACCACTTTGGCCGGACTACCATACCACTTTAAAGTCCTCTCTTTCTTCTTTGGAACCCATCCAAGATCCGGCCATAACTCCAATCAATTTGCCTGAAAATTCAAGCCAAAATAGGTTACTCACGCAACAAACAGTGGCCGTAATCTTCACTTCTGGTGACACTCATGCCCTACACAACCTCTAGATCGAGTCTACACACTAAAACATCCCTGTCCATCGTCCTCAAACATCCTTTAATGCACACAATCAAACCCAGCCGGCTGAGCTTCAAACACAGTCGTTGTGCAGCTTTCAAGCAATTTTTTTACGCCGATGGTGGGACCCATGATCGCTGACCACTACTTGAGGTACCTACACCTCATGGCGTATCCAATAAGCATATAGGTCTTTCCCATTGTTGCCTAGACATGGTTATTTATTCAAAAATCGAGAAACGAAACCTAACCTCTGCGAAGGAGAATTTGTACCATTAGAATGAAATTAATGGAAGCCTATTGGGTGGTATGTATAGAGGAGAGTGAGGGCTTTCCGATGGTATGGAGATCCGGTGGTTTGGACGGTGGTTGGCTGAAATTTTTTTGCTTGAAAAGTGGCAGTGGAGGGGGGAGGAAGAGAATAGAATTTTTTTTTTTTTTTTTTTGTTAATTTCAATATTTTGAGATTGGGGGCTCATTTGCACTTTTTTAAAATTTTAGGAGTAGGGTTGCAATTTGTTCTGAATTTTTCTCTTTTTATTTTTTATTTTTTATTTTTTATTTTTTTGTTTTAAATAAGAGGGTATATTGTCATTTTACATTCCAAAACAGTGAAAATGACCTTCAGCACAATGAAAGATAGAAATAAGTGCAAAAATGTCAAAAAATGAAAAGTATGGATGTTTTCCACAATAAACTTGAAAGGTAAGGGTGTTTTGTGCCAATTACCCCATGTTCTTTTCATACTATGCACATGGGAAGAAAATGGATCAATCAAGAGATTAAAGATATGTCAAAAGCAATAATAATTTCATTTAGTGCAAGTCCATTTCCATTAAATGTGCTTCAAATTAAATCTCCCTATGAACAAGTCATTCCTAGGGTTTCATGCCAATCTTGACCCTATATAGAAAGAAATAGGGTTAGGTCAAGTAAATAGATTATAGGAGAAGGTATTATAACAACTTTAACATTTATTGTACTTCAATGCTTGATGGATAAAAATGTGTGGATCATGCTTGAGAAAATTTGTTGATATTTTTGTTTGTTGACGTGTATGTGGACCCACCTTAAATTCTTTAACAAAAGTCATTTATACATATTTCATGTGTAGATTTTTTAATATCCAATTGAAGTGCTAGTGATTCAAGTCCTTTTCAACTCTAAATTTTGATCGCCCCAAAGTTTTTCTAAAAAAATTTACGATCTTTAAAATCATAATAAACTATATTTCCATACTATAATTTGCTCATTTTGTATGGCTAAAACAAAAACTTGAATTCCATTTCAATGTCATGTACATCATAAATTTGCTAGAAATTCAATAAAGTTAAGAGGTAACATCATTTTTATATCATATCTATACATTTTTTGACACATTTTCCGACCCAAATTTGTTAATTTTTACGCTCAAATCATTAGTGGTGTACAAGTAACGACTATAAGTAGAATTTCAGGCCAATAAATTAGAGTATTTGTTAGTGATATGAATGAGTTATAGCTTAATTATGTGTTAATTATATTTGTTAGATTGAATTCAATGCCAATTGATGGAATTGAAAGAAATGAACAAAAAAGGAGCAAAAATGAAAGAAATCCAAGTATGGGGACCAAAGTGTAAATATTCAATGGTTGATTTGGACCATAAAAGATTCATTGATGATTGATAGGAGTCAATTGAATACAAATTGAAGTAAAAAAGGAATAAGATATGATCAGAATATTAGCATAAATCGACTTCCAATCATTTAAAATATCTTCCAGATTTTTTTTGTCAAATTGAGACACATTTTTTTGACAGTAAATGTTCGAATTAGAAAAATTTTATTCTATAAGAATTGCATCTCTTTGAATTATCTTTTTAACGTATTTTGAATCACCTCAATCGAATATTGGAAGGGAAAGTTATGACCAAAATACTAAAAGCTGTATAGAGACAAAATCATATATATGCAAAGACAACTTTTCTTATTTGATTAAAACTCTTTTGGAGGGTAATTTGGAGGTGAATTTTAACTTAGTTTTATCATATAAATATAAGACATGGATAGCCATGAAGAAAACCCTTTCTTATTTCTTTATACACAATAGTTTCATCATATTCATTAAGAACAAGGTACCAATTACTATATTTTGAGAGAGGAGATCAAGCCATATGATCATTCGAGCTTGTGAGTGTGGTTAATTATTTTATTTCATCGGTTTAGGTGCCAAACATGTGGCCTGATTGGTTATGTGAAAGTTATGCAACTAGTCTAACCAGGTTGAAGAACAATAAATGCCTTTTAAGGAAAACATGTTTAAGTGAATGAATTTGTATTGAAGAGGTAGCCATATATGTCTTCAAGCTCCATGCCAATAAATCATGTTGTTGATGAGTTTTGTATGAAGAGGTACACTTTACTATTAATGCTTTCAATAACTCATATACATTTCAAGAAGAGTAATGTTATTCATAGTCCCTCACTGCGGTGGTCGTCTTACGTGGCATCCTACATAACGATTTATGATTTGATATATTAACGTAATAATCTTTTCTTGTCACATATATCAAATATTAAATGTTATATGCATGTCACGTAGGACGATTGCGTTATTGAGTTACTGCAAATAATATCATTCTTTTAAGAAACCTAACTGGAAAGTCATAAATGCTACACTAAAGGCAAATAACACACCCTATTCATGAGAAAAATAACTCTTCATTCCACAATTACTTCAAAAATAATTTGAAGTTCAATTTCACGTGTAAATTATTATTTTTAATTAACGAGGGACAGCTTTATGCAAGCCACCGGGAATGAATAGAATGCAATAACAAATTGCAAAGCTAGATTTCTGGGCAATATTTTAAAGTTTCTCTGGCATGTGAGCATTTTAGATTGAAAGGTGAATGGAAAGCATGGGTAGCTGATGTATGGAAATCTTTATCAATCCAAAGAACCGGTTTATCCTGGGGCTAAGCACTCAAGCTAAGCTCCTAACACACGACAAGTTGGTGTACCTTAATATCGATGGAACATGTGAACTATGTGAATCGTTGACTGAAAATTGTTCAACACTTATTCTTTCAATGTTCATTGAGCTCCTCCATTTGAACGCAGATAAGATCATGGCTTGGCATTACTAGATCAATGACTACGATTCGTAGTGCATTGAAGTGGATCAAAAAGGAGGCACGTGGGACATCTTAGCATAGTAAAATGAAGAGAATTGCTCTTGCAAGTATAGTTTACTATATATGGATGTACTATTAATTATTCAATTCAGTTCTACCATCTCAATATACTGGATGTACTATTAATTAAATATTTGTCGAATTGAGAATTTTATTTTGTTATCATTCTAATCGCTGTGATTGTCATTTTTTTCCTTCTCTTTTTATGAATAGAAATATTTAATAGTTCACTGAATCCATTGGTTGACCTAGAATATATTGAAAACCTGGATTTATTTTATATAATAAGAAAGGCATAACCAATTTTTCAAATTCTATTATTATTTTGTAACATTTATTGTGATAGAAGCAGTTCTGTTGTGGAGCATATCTTCATACTCTTATGACGTTGTAAAAGAGAGAAAGGGTGCTATGTAGTGAGAATCATTATAATTATATACCAAGAAATTCTCGTTGGACACGAGACAAACACTAAATATTTGAAGAGATGGGATGCTTCTCACAATACCCATATGGACAGTTGGTAAATATTTCATGTGATATTATTTTACTCAACAACAAAATATTTGACCAATATTTATATGGTCATTCGAACTTGTGATTGTGGTTAATTATTTTATTTTATTGATTTAGGTACCAAACATGCTTTTTGAAGGAAACAATAAATGTCTTCACCTACATGCCTCTAAACCACATTGAAGAACAATAAATGCTTTTTGAGGAAAACAAGTTTAATTGATTGAACTTGTATTGGAAGGTAGCCATATATGTCTTCAAGCTACCTGCCTTTAAACCAGGCTGTTGATGTGTGTTTGCATGAAGAGGTACACTTTACTATTAACACTTTCAATAACTCGTATACATTTCAATAAATCCAGTTGGAAAGTCATAAATGCTACACATAAGGCAAATAACTCACCCTATTCCCGAGAAGAGTAACTCCCCATACTGCGATTAGTTCAAAATTAATCTGATGTTCAGTTTCATGTGTCAATAATTATTTGTAGTTGGAATATATATGCTACTTGTACATAATGTGATGTCCATAATATTATCCACCCCTCCCCCCCACTCATATGGAGGAGGACCCATGGTAGGATCGCCCTTTTTAGTTAACGCCGCTGATTGATTATAAAGATTTAAGAATTAGCATTTCATTTGTTCTTTTCTTCTTCTTCTTCTTCTTCTTCTTCTTCTTCTTTTATTTAATTATAATAAACTAGAAATGTTTTGACAATACTTGATTTGAAACTGCATTTGCATTGTGCTTATAATTTGATTCAAGTAAGTGATATATTCAAATCAATTAATTGGTTGCAGTATAGGGAGATTGAGCGGTAAAAATTCTTCATCTTTCAAGAAAATGACATCATGGAGTATGTAGCAATAAATTATTGGGCATTTGTTTGTTTGGTCGCTATGCATCTCCAGTAAGGCTGACGTCGTATGATCACTACTGGAGTGGAATCCATGCCAATATTGTGGTGCTTATAATGACTTAGGAATTGTGGAAAAACTGAAAATTATGCAAAAAAAACTAAAAATTTAGAGTTGATTGTAATTTTTTGTGTCGTCCAATTTAATTATGTTCATGAAAAGATCAATTAAAATAACTAACAATTGCAATAATCGGGGTGGATTATTATAATTAGATAACACTAGATAAAATTATATAAGGATGTTAATATTTCGTTTATAATATTGATGATCCACCCCAAGACACTGTCCTTGAAATCTAATGTACCTTGGTAGCTTGAACAAGATTCATTCAGATTTTGTGTTACTAATGTGTCGTCAAAAATATAAACCAAGGACTAGGATAACTAAAATGGAAGAGAAAAGAGATTTTATGGCGGAGTAGATCGGGGCTATTCCTTTACGTGTAAATTTAAGTTAAATTGAACTGTCACACCAGAAAAAATATTCTATCATTGAGCTTATTTTCTTCTTGTCTTTGTCATTTGTTCAAATGATAAAATATTGAGGGTGTGGTAAAGCATATGTAGTGGCATATTGGAGGGGTAGGGTACTAGAGAGATCATATATTTGTTACAATTTTATATGTAGCAGTAGTCCGTAATTTCTTCGATTTTTAAATTAATTATGTAAAATTTTCGTTATTTTTCTCCATATATATTCATATATATTTCTCTCTAGTAATACATTTTGAGTACAAAGATCATTTGACCAAATGATGTTCTCCTAACATATTATTGACTTCATACACGTAGAGAAAAAAAAAAAAAAACTTTTATATTTATGCATTAACAATTGAATGATGGAAGCACGTGCTTATCTACCAAACCCCCTCCCCCATGTGTATATATATACACACATAAGATGAGAGAAGGATAGAAAACAAAACAAAATCAAATTTTCAGGTTGTTAGAGAAAAAAACTTAAAACAGATGTTTCCTTCAATGATTTTCACGTTCTTGGCTGCCTTTCAGTTCCATACTTTTGAATTTCTAGTATGTGCAACTGATGAAAAGAGTATCTTCATACTCGCCGGCCATAGCAACATGACTGGCCGAGGTGGTGTGACAAATGGGACTTGGGATGGTTGTGTCCCTCATGAATGCCGCCCTGACCCAAGGATTCTTAGACTTAATCCAAAGCTGACGTGGGAGGAAGCACGTGAACCTTTACATAGAGGCATCGACACAAAACCTTGTGGGGTGGGACGGGGGATGTGATTTGCAAATTCAGTGCTGGAAGGAGATCCTTGCCTCGGGTTGATCGGTTTGGTCCCCTGTGCTCCTGGTGGAACCAATATAACCGAGTGGAAAAGAGGCTCCGATCTTTATTATCGGCTCTTGAAGAGAGCTAATGCAGCACTACGAGATGGAGGAAAAATTCGAGCAATTCTGTGGTATCAATGTGAAAGTGATTCTGCAGATGAAACAAGAGCTAAAATGTATAAGAAGAGGTTGATAGAATTTTTCCTTGACATACTTCCAAATATTCAGTTATGGTCACTTTGCAAATTTTTCGTTAGGTGAACTGATATTCTTTAGATCTGATTAGATTTTTCGTCTTATTTTCTTAATCAACCAAATGGGGTTTTAATTTTGGATCAAATTGATTTTTTCAGGATCTTTTCGATTGCTCACTCTCTTTGCACTCTGCATTTTAATTCCATTGATCAACATTTGCTGTTGGTCTGGTTTTTCACTTTCGTTTCTGACAACGTTCTGGTAATTTTAGATCTCAGATCGTTTTTCCCCTAAAAATGGGCTTTTCAGTTCGTCGTCAATGAGTTTTCATCTGAAAATGTGCTGAAATTAGTTGCTAATTGGTTTTATTGTATTTATGCTTAATGGTTTCGGGGTGTCTCCAACTTTTTGAAGTTTTGTTAAAAAATTATATGATAATTGGCTGCGGGTGGCATTGGCTTCAAATGCGGGGCTCTATTACGAGGTTGTAAGAAAGGTCCAACTGGAATATGTGTTGATGCCAGGGGACTGGAGGTGAAGAAAAACGATACACTTCATCTTACTACTTCGGCCCAAGTCCACCTACGAAAAATGTTGGCTAATGCCTTTTCTCATATTGGAATTTAGTGTATTGATCAAGGCATGGGTGGAAAAAACATATAGAATTGGTAATATAGTGCTTGTTTGATATAAATTTTTAGCAAACGATACTATAAGAAAATTGTTAAAAGACAATTTCATTGAAGTAGTTGTCAGTGAAAAAAAGCTGTACAAATTGTTGCGTATTCATTGCAAAAGACAAAATTCGTTGTCGAATGGAAGAACCTTGTTTAATTACCTATATAATTTTGTTGAACAAATGTTTAACTTGGTAGAAGCTGGTCGAGAAATTAACGACAGTTACTATAAATGATTTTTACCAAAAATAAAACAATCAAAGTTTTTAACAGTAATGAACACGTGTCAATCAATAGGACGAAATTATCTTGAGATTTACATCGGTGCTATCCAACCAAGGAATACATAAATGTATCTTTGAACTTTTACTTAATATTTATTTTTTCCCTAAATTTTTGGAAAGTTTTCAATTTATTTGAATATTTAAAAGCAATAAAGGCATACGAAAATAACAAGAAGCTGACTCGCAAGTCAACTAACCCCCAAACTGATAGATACATTGTTTGAATGTAAGAACAAAAATAAGTTAAGGATTTGTTGACACACAAAAGTTCAGCCCAAATCAAATAGTCCAAGGAATGAAGCCCCATCAAAGGATCCCCAAATCAGATAGCCCAAAAAACGGCCCAATCAGGCAATGCAGGATAAAAGCCCAAATAGGGAAGCCCATGAACGCGGTAATACCATCGTCCAAGGTTACAAGTCGACCAAGATTTGAGCGAATGGATTGCTATGCAGTCGCCCAGAACTGTAACTCTATTCTCGCCCAAACCTTCGAGTCGCCCAGGATCTTAGCAAACATAAGATGTTATGGTTACCTAAAGGTGCGGTTAATGAAGCAGTTATTGAGTAGCCCTATCACGTTCCACGATTCAAGGAATTCAATTGAACACGGTTGAACGATAAAAAGTAATGACAGCAGTTAGAGAAGGCAGTTCCATGACAAGCTGGCCACTATGAAGAAAGTAGGCAGTTATAGAGTGATCAAGCAGTTTTTTAAGCGGTTGATCACGAAGAGGTCATCCAGGGAGTATAAAAGGAAGAAAAGACATGGAGCAAAGGACCCCGAATCAAACACTCTCAAACAGAGAATATGTAACTTTCAATTTCTTAGTTTAGATTTAAACACTTCTTTTCAGTAACTCATGTGCTTGCACCCCTTGGAGGCATTCTGTTTTTACTTTCCGATTGTAAAGTCATCGCCAATAAAGAACACCCCTTTTGGGACTTTGTCTCAAGAGGTTTTGTCCCTTACACAATCGTCTATTCTCTTTTTAATTGTTAGCGACTAACCCGCACGAAATAATTTGGCACGCCCAATGGGACAGTGGTGTTTGGTGTTGAAGATACAAAAGGTGAAACAATATGCCTCAGAGATCCAATAAGAAAGCAGCAAGTCAGGGAGGAGTCCAGTCTGTGATCAAGCGATATGAGGAGCAGCATAGCTCTCCACGAACATATGGACAAAATCAGAGCAGTAACAGTCGTTACGAATCAATGGCAGAGTTGAGTCCTCGAACTATGCGTGCACTACTTGGAGAACTCACACAAGATGTCGTTGAACAGGTAAATCTTCGAAATATTCATAATATGGAAAGATTTACCCAGAATGGGAATGCATATTATGACAACATGGCCAAACAACTGAATACTTTGAACGAAATAATGAATAAGTTAGTATGCCAAATTTGTCAACCAGTTATGCCTCTTGCAAACCACTTTCAAACTAGGACAATTGTGGGACATAATCCCCCAATCCTAAATCCAAATCAAGGGGTAGAACCACCTTTCGATCCCTCTACTTCAAACTAGGGGGATGGTGCAATGCCAAATCAGAATAATGGTAGTGGTACGCCTAACTTGGGGGGTAATCCAAATATAAGAGATAATGTCCTAAATAATGGGCAGAATACTCCACATGTTAATGAGGGAATAAATGTTCAGACTAATGGTAACAATAGTCCAAATCATGGTAACTTTGTTGCCAATCAAGGACCAAACATTAGGCCTCAAACAAATCAACCGGTTAACCAACCTATAGGGATTCCATACGACCCCAACGTCATGTTGAGGAATCAGATTATGAAAATCGTACATGATCAGATGGCTTTTGGGGTATGTCCTGTCATTAGGCCGACTTACACAAAGCTATATTCTGATTGGGTAGACCAAACATATCCATGGCCTAGAGGGTATAAAGTGCCAGAATTCTCATTGTTTACCGGTTTAGGGGAGGTGTCTACTCTAGAACACATAGGGTGATTCACACTGCAAAGTGGTGACGTAACTGATTATCATAAAATGAGGTTTTTCCCTAGTTCATTAACAGGAGTAGCTTTCTCTTGGTTCATTAACTTGCCAGCGAACTCTGTTCAAACATGACAATAATTGGAACAATTATTCCACGCTCAGAGTCTAAAGTTACTTTGGTCGATTTGGCGAATCTACGTCAAATGCCAAACGAATGGGCCGAAGGTTTCCTCCAAAGGTTCAAGACAGTAAGAAGTAAATGTTTTGTACCTTTGCCCGAAAAAGAGTTTGTCAAAATCGCTCAAGGTTGTTTGAGCTTTGATTTGAAAAAGAAATTTCAAGATAAGGAATTTCCTGACCTTTTCCAATTGAGCACGAACGTGATTAGGTATGAACGATTGACAAGAGAAGAAGAGCAGATAAAAAATTCTAGCAATGGGACTTATTATAGAGATCCAAATTTTGATGTTCATACCATCAATAATGAGTCATACGATCAGACCGAATGTGTTTGGCCGAATTAGTCAAAGAAGAAACATATAATTGTCCTATAATGCCTAAGCCTAGACCATCGGGCAAGGATGAGCCTATGAAAGATGAAAACATAAAAGCTAGAACGTTCTCGTTCGATGTAACCAAAGCTGACCTTATATTTGATAAATTATATAAGGATAAGCAGATAAAGCTGAGCGATAAGCATAAATTGCTGAGCCCTGAACAAATTAAGGGTAAAAAATATTGTAAGTGGCATAATGCATGGTCACATTTGACTAACAATTGCTTGGTTTTTCGCCATGTGTTACAAGATGCCATTGAATCAGGACGAATTACGTTCGATGATAAGAAGAAGATGGCAGTAGATGAAAATCCTTTTCCACAGCCATTTGGAATGAATATGGTGACGTCTGGTTTCAAAAACAAGTTGCCAAAATTCAAGTTGGTTATAGATGATGGAGAAGAAGACCCTAGACCACATCCCAGTGTCTTTGAGCGTATTAAAGGGAAGGAGCCAAAAAAGGATAAAAACGTCTTGTGTGCAAGATGTAAAGGAAAAGTGAGTGGGAATACGAAGAAACCAGGGATATGGCAGCATCCCCATCGCCCTACTTTCTTCCCAAACGCTCAGCCCGGTAGAGGGCGAGGTACATCGATCTATAAGGGACCGCCTTTTGAGAGGCAGTTCAGGCCAGTAAATAATGGGAGAACATTCAGGCCGCAACCTCGCCAACCAAATGTATGGCATTCGTTCTAGTATAAAGTAGGAAAGGCGATACCCTTCAACGAGATGACTAGAACCCAACAAAGGCGTTTCCAACGAAATTATGGATGAATAATGAGGCAACAACAGGGAGTACCACGTCCTAAGGCGTCTAAATTACTCTAGGTAGCCAATCAGAATGTTCTCAAAGACAGTGAAGAGATGGGTACAGATGAATCAATGAAAGAGTTGCCAGAAACTTCTTCTGGGAGATCGAAGTTTGAACGAGACAGAAGGGATGGAGAAGATCCAAATCAGCCCCTTACTATTCAGTTCGATACCTTACCTCCTGTCGTGGCTAATAACTATTTACTAACCAATGAGTTCAAGAATAAAGAGAAAGAGGAAGAAGAAAGAGAGGAAAATGAAGGAGAAGCATGTGTGCTGGAATATGAAGAAGGTCAGACTTCTAGAGAGGCCTACAATGGTGAGGAAGATAATGGTATGACAAACATTGAAGAGGAAATCGACTTGGAAGCAGAAAGAAGAAGGAGAGGAGTATCGTACAATACTCTGTTGAAGCAACTACATCGAAAGAGAGTTCGTGAAATAGATTTATTGGGAGGACTATCTGGGCGTTCTTTCGATTTTTACGTGCTGTACGGGACGCCCAAAAGGAAGAAGAGAGTGCCTCGCTCTGAAAAGTATGGATCAGCTCCAAGAATAATGCCTCCTCCCACAAGTTGGGTAACTGAAGATGAAGCATTAGAAAACTGTAAAAAGGAAATTCAGGAGACAGAGGCTCAGTGTGATATGCTGTACGTTGACTTATCACAAAAGGATAACTCGACAGAGGACAAGCAGGAAGTAGAAATAGAGGCTGTCGAAAAGGTTATTTTTAAGCGGCCAACCATAAAATTGACTAAACACTTGAGGCCGTTGTACGTTAAAGCTCTAGTTAACGGCATACCTATGGAAAAAGTGCTTGTCGATAATGGAGCAGCTATAAACATCATTCCATCTAGGATGATGAGAAAATTTGCAAAGACAGAAGGGGATATGATTTCAACAGAAGTCATCCTTACAAGTTTCAATGGAGGAGCAACTACAGCTAAGGGAGTTATGCCATTGGATATAACTATAAGTACAACTACTAGGACCACAGTCTTCTTTGTAATAGATGGTCCTACTAGTTACAATGTATTACTAGGAAGAGATTGGATACACGAAAGTCGCTGTATACTCTCATCGCTCCATCAATGCCTGGTTTTTTGAAATAACAATGGTGAAGCAGAGGTGGTGCAGGCCGATCATAGGCCTTTTGTCGCAGAAGCAAACTCAGTGGAAAGGTTCATGTACGAAGGAAACTATGAACTTGTCAGGGTAGTCCAAGATGGGGAAGAAACTCAGAT